ATGGACAGCTTTCAACCGGAATAGAAGCGAGAGAAAGGAAAAGCGACATTCAGTTTGATCAAATAGCGACGAGAGTAAACAGGTGTATGCGATTCTCATAATATTTGACAGAAGTACTGATGATTATCACTCGTAGGGTCAACTTTTAGATCAGCAATAAATTATTTCGACGTCTCGAAACCTCAAAACGATTTTAAATAAAAATTCTATTATACGTTTTATTGTCTAAATAAAAAGAGAAGTAAAAACGTTTCGTACCTATATAGAAAGAGTTTCAAATATTTACGACATAGTTATAAAAATGGAAACAATACTAGTAGCCGGCAAATTCTATTAAATTTCTATTCTACGTTCATCCCTTCTTCTTTTACGATCTCTTTCTCCTCCTTCACGATTTTCTACGATTTCACCGCGTGTCACTTTTGATAACCGACTTCTATTATACTAATAATACATAGCATGTCCTGTTTCCAAGACGCCTTTAGAAAGACAGGAGTCTCCTGGTATATGGCCAAACCCGATCCCGATCGGATTCTCAGGTAGTTTTCTTAGAATCGCTCGTCATTCGAGCGCCCAGCGCAGGTAAAAGTATACTTACAGTGTACGAGCTAGGCAACAATAGAGAGACAAAAAGAAAAAGCATAGATAAGACTCGAGACTCGCGTGGCGTGAGCACTTCCAAGAATTAGTAAGGATGACTCGCGGCCATATGTCCGCACTCTACTATATGCGTTAGAAATTGTCGAGGTCCATGCTCTTTGGAGATTCTGGGATAAGTGTCGTGACGATTTTCGCAATCTTCTTACCAGAAGATTTTCGTCACCTCAGATCCTCTGAGCACTCTTATCGCCGAACACATGGCACGCAACTCCACCGATCGGCCGCGGCGCATTTTTTAATCGCCAATACGATTCGACACGATATATTCACGACTTTTAGAATTTTACAAAATATAAATTATCGATACTACTTTCGCAATAATCTATATTTATCCCATGACAGATGTATATTTATAATGTTTCGCGTATCGCAGATTCTGTGTGCCAAGGTCCAACGCACCGAATGTGGTGGCCTTGATGACACATGTAGCATCCTTACAAAGGATCCCGACACCAACACAGCCTTACAAAGGATTTGTCCCTATAAATATATACTTTTATGTGTATTTCGTTTCATCGAAACATTCCCCGCTCAACGTCCACTTCAAGTACTCCTAAATACTTACACTGAATAATGAACGATTTGAAGCTAGATTTCTAGTTTAGATTCATTCAATTTAATGAAATTAGGGGCAACCAAGAAAGTAAATTTTCCTTCACGATTCGACACTCTCTTCACTGTACTCTACTCTTTCTTCAGTTTCTGAATCAGCATATGTATCTCTACGTGTTCGACAACGGGGGAACAAGAGAGGCAGAGAAAGAGAGAGAAACCAATATGGTGAAGGAAAGGCGAAAAGGATGGTAGAACAAGAGGGGAGGGATCAATGCCGGTTGCCAGGGCAACCACAGGCACCTGATCTTCATCCATTCTGTACCATGCTTCTTTCAGTCCTGCTCCGTTCACGGGAACGAACTGGGACGAAGGGTCCTTCAGGATGCCTAAGGCAGTTTTAGAGAAGGTTGCATTCCAGTACGGCTGCAGATTGAAACATGAAAATGGGACCACCAGCGCGAGGAAATCCTTCAATCGAGCTTCCAACGACATGGGGTGGGTCAGTCAACTTATGTTTCTTTTTCGAAATTAGTTAATTTGGGAAAAATAGCTGTGCAATAAGCAGTGCGTACAAGAGAACGGTCAAAACGCTAGCCTATCGGAACAAATTCAACGTTCACCGTTCGTGTTTCTGCGCACCAACGCGAGTTTTGGCGGGTCGATGTGCCATTGTTGCCCTGGCGGCGGTGGAGGCAGCGCGGGCGGCTGCGTCCGCTTTGTTTTCATCTTTCTCTCCTCTCCTGTCTTCTCTTTTCCCCCTCTTATCGAATCGCTCTCTTTTTCTCCCTCATTTTGTTCAGCAAATAAAAAATAATAAGTTCCAAACAAGACGGGGGAAAAAGAAGAATCGAGAGCCAGAAAAATGTAGAATACGTAATATAGAACGTAGAACGATGATATTTTGTTATCGCACACAGATATCATACACACACACACACATTCTTTCACGGTGTGTCATCGAATAGAGTCATATTTAATTTTTTTATGCTATACTTCCTTGAAATATAGTCTGAGGAAATGTTTTCTGTTCGACGCTCTCCAATGAAGACATACATTAATTGATTAAGCATTTCAATGACCGAAGGCCACGAATTAATCAATAAAACGGACAAAATAAGCACGACTTTTAAGGCAAACCAAATCATTTCAAAAACTTAACTAGGTAGATAGGTATATGTTTAGATATTACGTTGCGTCCTTGATGATATGCAACTCTTATTTGAATAATGTTTCTTACGTTTTACCGAAGGCCAACTTATGAATTATGATATTCCTACAATGAGATCATCTCGAAGAAATGTATAGAATTACAAAATTACATGTAGGATTGATATCTAGTACGTAACAGTTCAATAATTTTGTAATTGAATAATGCGCAAGCAGAATTTGAGTATCAATTACTTACGTTAGACGTGTTTCCTCGAGCGAATTATAAAAACTAGCGATTTTCATGCGCAAACAGAGGAGACTGTCGCCGCGATATCGATAACGAACCGAGTCGTCCCTCGTCTTGCGTTGCTCGCTACGGCAGACTTTCAGTTTCGCGACTGATAAAACCGACAATATTCTGGCTTATTACGCGGAATAAACATGAGTCAAAAAGATTCTTCGCCCCGCGTTGCCACGTATGGACAGCTTCGAATACAGTCTTTTACGGGGAGATAAAAACTTAAAATTAGATATAACACTAAAACCAGGCGGTTATTAATTCTCGAGCTAATCATCTAATGATAAAATTTTGTATCATCAAATGCTATACTTGCACTCAGCTCGCATGCGTAACTGAGATAAGTTCACCGGAAATACGTCACGATTTCTTTTGTAAACTACGAGCCCTGAAACTATTCCTGAAAAATTTCCGGTGGTTCTCAATTTACCGAAATAACTGTACTGGAAAAAGGCGATCCATTAAAAGCCAGTACAGTTATCCCGTCGTAAGCATGGAAAATAACGTGGAAGCGTAGCAGACCGGATGCCGCCGCGGAAGATAGTATGTCACGATGTCAGGCTCGCGTATTTACCTAATCGTAAGCATTTTAAAAAGATCGCATCGTAGCAAGAGTTTATTGTTATTTACCTTAGCATGCGGCCCGATATTGTTCCAGTGACATTAAATGAGAGTTTAAGTTACTGTTATCGTCCCGGCAGCTAATCCTCCGTCGAAGAGCATCACGGGATTCGCGACGGCAATGAATTAAATTGTTTCAAGGTAAGTACTTATGCAGTAGGTATTTCGACCTTAATTGACGTCAACGGCAAGTAAGCACTGACTGGCCAATGGTATGTTCACAAGCAACTGCGAACGTGTTGCTCGATTGTCCCTCGCGGAAAATAGATAACACGTACTCCTAATGAAGCGTGTTGCAATTTTGACGTAAACCACTCGATAAATAGGATATCTGTCGTTCGAATTCATACCTGCTAAGCGTGCGTCGTCCTTCCGGTACGCAATCAGTATTTTTAGCTTAGCCAATGTTTCGTACTGGACGCCTCCCGGTATTATAAAAATGAAACAAAAAAGATCGCGGAATGAGAATGATCTCTGGAAAATGAAAATGGGGATAAAATCTCTTGACAAAAGTGTAGAAGCTCGACCTGAAAACTGAGAATGCTGGCAAGTTTTGCGTGCCAGGTATACGTATACGTAGATATATAGAAAGGACTACCAATAGCGACCCCGTCTCGTGCGTCTTTCGCCCAATCGAGAGGTAAGGTTAGCTCTCCCACTCGCATCGCAAAATGCAACGGAAAATATTACGCTACGAAAGGTATCGCACGTAAGTACGTATGTACTATGTACGTATATACGTACATATATGTATCTACGTACTACAGAAGTGCAACGGAATACATATGTATAGCCAGTCACGCTGCTCCGTTTTCTCGATTTACATGCATATGCATGTACAATAACTATCCTAATGCGATTGTCCATTTATTTCGGAACAATGTTAAGGAAACCTTGTTTTCATTCCATTGGGAGAGATACGAGAGAGACGAGGGTTAACGAACGATCAAGTAACACAGACAAAGAAACTGTGCTTGCCGTCGACGATTATGACATCATAACCTATTAACCAACTCATTCTAAAAACAATCATGATTCTAATCGGAACTACCGCTTTATGGCACTGCCTGTTTCGTTCTATACACGAAAAAAGAAAGTTTGATACCATTTGGCACGTCTGCCTTCCGCCGTCTACGCCTATCTTTACTGTTTATTTCCCATCTTATTTTTATAACCGCGAAAACAACGTAATTTTCGCAAAGACATACAACGTTCCGCTGTACCAAAATACCAGGAAAGACAATTGAATAGCCACGATAGTGCGATTACGGACTTACCGGTTTCCAGTTGATCGTCACATTTCCAAGCTGCCACGAGTTAGCACCCGGTCGGAGTCAGACCGTCACGTCTTCACGCCGTTGTCTCGTCGTCTTTGCACTGGCGAATTTTTCGCGAGATGTTTCAAAGAGCACAAGCACCGTGAATCAAACGATCACACCATACCGCGCAGCAGCAGCCTGCAGGCCATCTTGAAGCCACCGACGAGGCACCAACACAGTAAACCTCGGTAAACCTTATCGAATCAGGCACATACGGTGTATAAGATCCTTCCTCCCAGAAGTACCCAGAAGGACGGAAGACGAGCGAGTGAATGCTCCGCTAACGATATATAAGTGGCGGCCATGATGGCGCCACTTGCCGGCCCTTTCTTTCACTTTCATACTCGCTCGCGTCCAGATGTTACTCTCAAATACGAATTCGATTAGAAGACTTTTGATTTCATTCTATTTTTAATACCCTGCGATACGCAGTTTTTATTTCCTCACAATTCTACATATCAAGATCTGTACTTTGTAACGAAACGACAAAGGATTTTGAACGAATATTATAATCGAATCGAATTTACAATTAATCGAGCGCGTAGCAGACGAATTATTTTATATACAATTTTAATTATCTTTTTTCAGTCGTTTATAATTAATTTACAGAATATTCTAATTACTAGGAATCAAAAGCTATTCACTTATGACTGAGATTTAGCATTACATGCAACTCCTTTTTACACCGGTTGACTTGTATGTTATATATTTAAAAATAATAGATTAAAAGTTAAATTTCACGTAATAAATAATTAAATATGCTACCCTATACTAAATTAACGTTATCGGTGTATCGATCGTTCGGTCGGCTCATAACTTTCTTAAATAGATTTTATTCGAGCACTAAACAATGATATCTACACTCTAGAACAAACATGTTCGCTTGTTCTCCTCGTTAGCGTTATACCGCCACGCCTTTATTGTTGTTTAATATTATCACCGTCACTAGGAATTTTATACGTACATATAATATAATAATCGTTATTGCTTGCCATTGTAACGGCGTTGTTAAATCTTTCACATGGTTTTCACCTGGACTTATCGAAGGGCGAAATATTCCTAAGTACATAAATTCTAACTAATTATACCTGAACAATTTCGTCCCTTCGTTTAGAACCGTTCTGTTAGACCCACGGAGAAAGAATGGATGTATCCTTGGCACATCGTAGTAAATTCTTATTATATAAACGCCTTATGTGTATATAAATAAGTTGTATGATCGATAGCTCGATTCGAGTTATTAAATATATATATATATATATATATTTCTATATATTGTATATATAATATGTATATGAATATTTATGATCTGTACGCGTGTATGACTAGAATATATTATATAGTAATTATCTCGACATGTATCACATGCTATATTGACTATCGCGTTGCGGGACGGGATTTGGAAGTTTCGTTCCTCATCCTTACATCATTTCTCTCTCTGGCAGTTACGTGTACATTGTTAATGTCTGACGCTTGAAAATGTGAGACAAAGAATAATATAAAAGTAAAAATAAAATTCATTGAGATAGATCATTTATTCTTGTCTTGAGGATCGACCTTCGTTCACCAGAGACAGAAATATGCTGTCAGTTATTGCTCTTCTCGGTAAATCTTACCGACTTTGAATGATTATACTCTTAATTACTAGTATCGTACTTTCATAAACTTTCATCTTAGGATCATCAACCATATGGACTAATATTGACTTCACGTTTATCGAACTCGTTACACTCGTTCGCAAATTGTTTATAGTAATACTTTCATCGCGTAATAATACGTCGCATCGTGCGTTCTGGTGTTCATATATGTATGTATTGTACGTGTATGTATGTATGTATGTTTGTATGTATGTGTGTATACAGTCTTAATGGTAAAATGTGATGTTCGATTCCTGGAAGATTAATCGTGTTGCGTGTCACCGAATACTTCCGCGATATATTCATCAAAATCGTTATCAATGCTAAAAGTAGTACTTATTACTAATTCCGTCCTATTAGGAATAAGAAGTCTTTAGATATCCCTGACTCCTCTCACTTCCCGATCCAACCTTTGATCCTACCTGCGTTACACATTCGTCGATTAAAGAAAAAAGATGCTTTAATTGGATTCTCCGCTGGCAACTGTACCGTCAGTAGGAGGACCGCCCGCAGTGACGCTCTGAGGATCGGTGGTCGGAAGTCCCGGCATATCTGGCACACCTTGGAACAATTTGCCTGGAAACCCGTGCAGCAAATCATACGAGACAGGTGTCGGTGGCAAAGCAGTGGTGTGAGCGTGAGGTGACTGCAGAACCGCTATTACTCTTTTCAGTTCCTCCAAAGCGTTTCCTGTGAGGTAAAACGAGCAATTAACAACAGATGACAATATTGAATTCACATTACATACGTTTACCTTGCATGAGAATGTAATTTTTCGCCAAGAGGAGGGTGGCGATCTTAGATAGTTTTCTCACGGACGGACTATGAGCGTAAGGGATGACGGATCGAAGCTCATCGAGAGCATCATTTAAATCATGCATTCTTCTGCGTTCTCTTGCATTTATATTTAATCGCATACTTTTCCCCTGACGAGTGGTTTTCGACTTTGGCGGACAGTTCAGTCTCGATGCTCCTGGCCTATCATTGCCAACGTGCGAACGATGTGATAACAATATAATTATATGGTTTGCGAATTATACGATATGCATATTGAGTCGAGTTTACTTTTCTTTCTCGTGCTTTACCTCTCTTGATCCGGCCTGTTCTCGTCGGACAGACCGCTGGACGAAGCGTGCGGTTGTGGCTGGTGCTGGAAATAAAAGCCGCCCAGGCCAACTGCGCCCAAAGGAGTTCTCCTTCCAGGTGCGCTTTGAGGATGCTCGGACGAATAACCAGCTGGAGGAGCGGAAACGCTAGCGTGAGACGCTCCCGGAACAGGGTACATGGACTCGAGCGACGCTGTGGACTGTGGTGGTAAAGGATGCTGAGATACGAGAGGAAAAATTAATTCACTTACAAAATGTATTACAATAATTTTCAAGTACTGTGATTAATACGTACGGCTGTGCGATGTTCCCAAGCCCATGTGGGATGCGAAGTCGAACGCTGCCAAGATCCTTGTTGCAGGTGCGCCTCAGGAAGGCCCTCTCTCCTATCGTCATCCTCTGTAGAGCTGCTCTCACCGTCGTAAGACCTCATCTCCCGACTTGAACGAGCCCGGTCGAGTACCTCGTTTTCTCTTATCTTCGCTCGAATTCAAAGTTCCTACTGGTGCCTTGTTCGCATTCAACAAATACGCGGTTATTTCGTGAACGTGAAAACATGGACCGATCGGTTATCATCGTTTACGCGTGTTCGTATATGTGTAACGCAGTGTATCGAGTGAACCGTATCATCGACGAGCATAACACAATCAATAGTAACCGCAACAACCCCTTACCGACAAATTTTCTTTCCGCTGCCGGTCGTGCACAGCGCAGGATCCCTCCGAATGCACCGAGGATCAGCAAAATTTTTTGCGCACCACCACGTAGCTGGCCATCCCACGTCCCCAAGAATGTAAATCCTCTCCTTCGATCACGAGAAAATTATCCTGGTTCTTCTTCTCGTCAGTAAAATCACTTTATCTGTCGTTTGCCTCGAGCGACGCCAATTATAGCCATGTTAAACGAATGGTTTCGCGGCTGCACGCCAGTTGCTTCGTCTGGCTTCGCAAGCTGGCACTGTGAGATCATTCACCCCCTGTCAATTTATTTATCATTCAAGCGTTTTCCACGTGCCACGCTATCGTCTATCAGCGTTTCTTCTTTCATCACTCGATTCGACACATTCGTGTTTAATAAAATTAGTCGCCCATCCACTCGCACGTATACGCGCGCGCGCGCGGACCTCGCGTAGATTCTACTTACCGCATCTATTGTTTGCGAGCAGCCTGCGCAGCGCAGGCAGTGCGCATCCATTGCAACCCTAAATGTAGTTCGAAACGTTCCCGACAGGACGCCGCGTCGAACAAGGGATGCTGACCTGGACCAACGGCTGGCGAACCCTGGCGAACGATCAGCCAAGTTATAGGGGTTGCTTACCACCCTTGCACCTTACCATCCGTTCCAGATAGGTCGATATCTCGATGCCCAGGCCCAGATGCCACGAGAAGGGATCGTCCTCAGGGTTCAAGCGAGTGCACGATGCGGCTTTTTTGTCCCATTCGTGACTGGAGTACTTTTCTTTCTTCGAGGGGTGGCTTAATTTCATAGCGTCAACGCTGTTCCTATTTCCTAGTTCCCGTTTAGAATTTTGTTTGCCCTTCGCGGTGGTACAGCGTATATCGGAAAAAGTGGACGTAGCTTCTTCCGTAACCATTGTAGTATAATATTGCATCATTAATTTCCTTTATTATGTAGTATAATATTATTGTAGTATAATATTATGTAGTATAATATTGCATCATTAATTTCCTATATATCCTACATTTTGTTCCCTCTTTAGTACCGGCGGGAAATTGTTTAGAACCTCATCTCCCGACTTGAACGAGCCCGGTCGAGTACCTCGTTTTCTCTTATCTTCGCTCGAATTCAAAGTTCCTACTGGTGCCTTGTTCGCATTCAACAAATACGCGGTTATTTCGTGAACGTGAAAACATGGACCGATCGGTTATCATCGTTTACGCGTGTTCGTATATGTGTAACGCAGTGTATCGAGTGAACCGTATCATCGACGAGCATAACACAATCAATAGTAACCGCAACAACCCCTTACCGACAAATTTTCTTTCCGCTGCCGGTCGTGCACAGCGCAGGATCCCTCCGAATGCACCGAGGATCAGCAAAATTTTTTGCGCACCACCACGTAGCTGGCCATCCCACGTCCCCAAGAATGTAAATCCTCTCCTTCGATCACGAGAAAATTATCCTGGTTCTTCTTCTCGTCAGTAAAATCACTTTATCTGTCGTTTGCCTCGAGCGACGCCAATTATAGCCATGTTAAACGAATGGTTTCGCGGCTGCACGCCAGTTGCTTCGTCTGGCTTCGCAAGCTGGCACTGTGAGATCATTCACCCCCTGTCAATTTATTTATCATTCAAGCGTTTTCCACGTGCCACGCTATCGTCTATCAGCGTTTCTTCTTTCATCACTCGATTCGACACATTCGTGTTTAATAAAATTAGTCGCCCATCCACTCGCACGTATACGCGCGCGCGCGCGGACCTCGCGTAGATTCTACTTACCGCATCTATTGTTTGCGAGCAGCCTGCGCAGCGCAGGCAGTGCGCATCCATTGCAACCCTAAATGTAGTTCGAAACGTTCCCGACAGGACGCCGCGTCGAACAAGGGATGCTGACCTGGACCAACGGCTGGCGAACCCTGGCGAACGATCAGCCAAGTTATAGGGGTTGCTTACCACCCTTGCACCTTACCATCCGTTCCAGATAGGTCGATATCTCGATGCCCAGGCCCAGATGCCACGAGAAGGGATCGTCCTCAGGGTTCAAGCGAGTGCACGATGCGGCTTTTTTGTCCCATTCGTGACTGGAGTACTTTTCTTTCTTCGAGGGGTGGCTTAATTTCATAGCGTCAACGCTGTTCCTATTTCCTAGTTCCCGTTTAGAATTTTGTTTGCCCTTCGCGGTGGTACAGCGTATATCGGAAAAAGTGGACGTAGCTTCTTCCGTAACCATTGTAGTATAATATTGCATCATTAATTTCCTTTATTATGTAGTATAATATTATTGTAGTATAATATTATGTAGTATAATATTGCATCATTAATTTCCTATATATCCTACATTTTGTTCCCTCTTTAGTACCGGCGGGAAATTGTTTAGTGTAAAATGAATGTATTATTTATTTTTTCAAACAAGCTACGCGGTTTCATCTCCAATTTATCTCGAACAGCCAGCAATTCGTAAAACATGGAAATCGATAAAAAAAAGGGGGGGAAGGGGTTGGGAGCGGATGAAAAAAAAGGGTGCAGAGAAAATTTCATAAAATGGCCCGGGGTGAGCAACGGAAATGCAGGGTGGAGTGTCCCGACGCGAGCGGGACGACGGTCTCGCGCGTGTAACGTTGCAGATCAATTTTGCGAACCAGGGAGAAGCGGGGTGATCCGGGACCTCGGTGTGCGGTATGAAATAACGACGGCTGACACACTCTTTGCCGTGCGTTGGGTATACCTGACCGTGGGCATAATTCGACGTATAACGCCGAAATCAAAACCGACTACGCGGCGCGCACACACGCGTCGGACCGCGCATTGTTCGCTGCATCTGTCGTGAACACGACACGAAGAGGGCGGGGGTTGTCATTCGCAACGAACACGTTCGATGAAAACTATGTATCGCCGGCGTTCGACTCGTCTTTGCCCCGGACAATGGAAATTTTTCACCGTCCCGTAAAATGTTTTTTTGTCTTCCCCTGCCCTCCGCGACCCCTCCTCTCTTTTGCTCGTTTGTACTCGTTTTAATTAATACCCGGGGAAACGAAGCGAGACTATATATACGCATACAGCCGTGGGCGGCAAGGATTTTCGTCGATTTTCACGTATAAACGTTCTCGTTTAAAACCGCGTTCAGAATATTTGTTTTTTCATACTATTGTTAGTTTGTAATTAATTTAAAGCCCGGAATTTAATACATATTTCTCTATGGTCAATTATTTTCTTTCAATGGTCGCCAAATGGAATGGTTTCTTAGTTCGCGAAAAAATATCGCACGGTGAGGTAAGAAACACAGTAGGTATGTAGGTGCACGTATACCCTCGCGCTTGTCCGTGTCAGGAGAAAAGGAAATTTGTTACGCGAATGCAACCAGAATTTCAAAGTGTCGGGGGAATCCAGCTAGCTCATGCTTGGCTCAGGACCATACCTATGTAAAATAGATCCATGAGACCAGAAAACATTTCACGTGGATGAGATTCATATAATGCAATCCCACAGAGAGATAGAGACAGATCGATGGGAAAGTAGATAAATAAAAAGAGAGAGCACTTCGTATTTATCATCCTTCGAATACTTGCCTAAAGATTGTCCGCCACGTAGAGGTTGTTGCTCGAATACTAAGAGTTCATAGAAAACAGTTCAATTTTTTATATCGATTGATCAGTGATCTTGTGAGTAAGAATATAATTTAACTTTGAGCCACGAGAATCGATGAATTGTACGTAGCATCTTTTCTACTCATGTGGCGAAATAAATACAGAATTTTTCTGGGTCGAGTATACTCTGTCGTAAACGATTCGTTCGAGGGAAGAGGTCCTCGAATTTTGGTCAGTCGAAATTCGGAATATGACTAACAGCCACTTATCTCGCAACGATAATTCAAACAAATTGGCTGATGGCGTAATTCCCGATTAATTACATAAAAATTTTTAATTTGCCTAATTCATCAAATTGCAATAAATTATTGTCGAACGTATACGTTATCAATGATCCGTGTATAAAAGGTCGCTATCGAAATTTCTCTCGAGTAGGATTCCATAGCTACCGATCTATGGAAATGTACTTGAACTTACTAGATAACTGGATAACAGAGCCCACAACTATACTAGATTACGTTCCATCCCGAGTATGGAGAATTGTTTCCCGATTCGTGAAAGCAACAACAGTTGGAAGTAATGCGGAGGCGAGCATCCGTCGAGCAACAACGCAGAATTAAACTCGATCGAGGGCGGGCAACATCGATAGACCGTCGAGATTATTTCCGCGGTGGCCAAAGAAACAGTACGCGTCCAAGATCCCGTACGAAGCGATCCTACGTGCGGGTTTCACGAAAAAAGGATTTTCCACGTACGCCCATGTACACCATTACCCATGTACTACTTATAGTGCAACATAGTACACCATAGTATGCAACATACAAACCTTGCTGTCCACATGCAACGAGATTCAGCGTATACAGGAATACGAGGAGGAACCGGGCGTTCGTTTAACACCTATAGATCGACCTGGTGAGGACAGATAGAAAGAGAGGGAGATGGAACGCGAAGGATCGACACGGGGAGGTGGTTGAGCGCGAGAGAGTAGAGAGAGCCACGGTGGAATGTTCGGGCTCGTTCGGGGGTGGTTTTCGGTGCGAGGCCCGACCGATGGAAAGTCCTGAGGGATGAGGGAGGAGGTTGCCAAGGCAACGCTCCGTCAGCCTCGGCTTACTTTAGCTCCGCTCGTGCACTCGGATCAATACAGCATCACCGTGAATTCCCGGACCAAACACACCCCCTCGTCACCCACCCCCCTACTGGCAACCGACTCTATCCCCTTCTCTCTGCTCTCATCCCGCGTTCTCTTCCGTCTCGTACCTGCTCATACCGCTGATCCTCTCCCGCTGCTCCCTCGACCTTCTCCGTCTCTCTCTCTCGTCGCCGACCATTCTTCTCCATCTCCCTCGCTTGGTTTCTCGATTACCCTCCGGCTCTTCTCCTCTTTGTTTCACCGTCTGCTCGGTCCTCGTCCAATCATCCCCTGTCCCTGGCTGCCGCTACTTCCTATCGTTCCCTCTCTCTCTTTTATTTGCCGAACGTACTCGCTTCTCCCTTTCGGGGCTTGTGACTCGACCTTCCATCTCGCTCTTCTTCTCCCCGTCTCTGTTTATTTCTATCCGTCGTCGGTCGGGTCGTTCTCCATCGAAGCGATCCCTGTCCGGTCCGCGGGTTTTCGGCTTTCGGTGCAGTGATCGCAAAAATTATCGCGCCGTTTTCGGCGGGTCATCCTCGAAAACAATCGCCAGTCGCCAAGCCCGCCGACGAGACGCGGTTAATTACAGAATCATTCATTTTCTATTTCTTCGCTCTTGTTCTAATCGTATTTGGAAACTTTTACATCGACACATGCTCATATATGCCTATCCACGCAGATTGTACGTATGTGAATACCTAGCTATCTCGGCCACGATGATCGTGATCGAAGCGAAATTCCTGACCACGATTTCCGAATGCCGACGATACGAGCACCCTCGACACGATTCCGCACGCGAGCGATCGATATCAGGCAGCATCAAATTGAAACAAATTTGAATAATCTCCATTCGGAACGAGAGCGTTCACGATTAATCCCTTTCAATATCTCCGAACGAACAATTTTTTTTTTTCAAAGTAGCAACGTTTTCATGGAAAAGCATTGGGTACCGGGATCGTTATATTTGAAAATGTCACTCGAGCAAGATTTATTATTTTCGAAACAAAGACACTCGTCGCGAAAGCTCTCGTGGGTTATTTGAAGTTGTTCCGGCAGCTCGCGGGTTTCATGCGTTCCAGTAGACGTCGAATCATATAAATTGCAGACATGGCTGGCGGATGGCTCGCTTGGTTGTTCGTAATGCTGTCCTTGGCGTGACTATCGGACTATTCGAGGGTCGAGAACACGGGCGGATGAACAAATTCAATCGGCGCGTGATCGCCTCGGTTTTATACCGGGAAAAGCTGCGGCCGGCCGATGTAAATCACTCGGTGCTCCCGCTCTATTCTCTCCTGTTTTATCTCTCTGAGTCATCGGTGAACTTGTTCACCTTGCGCGGAATTAAAAAAGAAGGAGGAAAGCAACGATAAACGAGCACGAGGTAGTACCTACGTCGCGTCGACGTGAGAGACCGTTCATCGATTCGCCAACTTCTCCGGTCGCTCTTTTTCCGTCGAGCGGAATTGAACTCGCGAAATTTTCAACTTAATTAAATTGACGCTAGGTAGGTACAAGAGGGTAGAAGAGTTCGAACGAGATGGTATCGAGGAGCGACTGGTTCGGCTTTCACTCGTCTGCCTCGCATAATTTTATAGCGACCGTACTTCGTATATTTACTATTAAATGAAACTAGATGAGGTAAATTAATTCAATGAAAAAAGTGTATAAATATATATACCTGTAGGAGACGGTTAAGGCGGAAAGGAAATGAGAGAATCCTTAGGGATGTTGAGCAGCTTAATGGGTGATTCCGAGCCGAAAATGCAGGAGGTAACGCTCGTTGATGCACAACCCCGCTTTCCCACGCAAACTTAGGCAGAATCATGAGCGCGTGAAATCGAAACCCCAATCTTCATCGATCAGAGCCACATTAAACTAACTTTAATTAATTTATGTCTTTCAGTTGACGAACGCTGTGTGTACTCGCTGAATTAAATATCTGATACGAATATACATAGTAGAATAACACGATAAGAACAGGGGGTTGGCAAAATGATAAACCACAATAATCGCGCGTAACTCCTCCGCGAGTTTACGGAGGAAAACACATGGGGACACCCTCTA